CACACACACACACACACACACACACACACACACACACTCACTCACTCACAGATGCCAAAATCTACATACCGTCTGCACAAACACAGACAAAACAAACCTGGGAATGGAAATGTCTTTTGACAGCACAGACACATGCAGTGACATCCAAGCTGCCAACATGGGACTCTTCAAGTGTTTAAAATGTTTTTCAAACTAGTTTAATAACAATAAAAAAAAAACAAATCACCTGAAATTACGTTTTATTTCTAAAATATGCAAATGGTGTTGGGAAATTAAAGTAAAAAAAAAGAGCGGCAACATATTCAAGTGCGTTTTGGTTTTAAGGTTAAACATCTGTGTAAGAAGAAAGAAAGAGATTTATTTTGGGGCTGTCTCTTTGGCTTTTGCTGCAGGGAAAGTGTTGAGAATCTGATCCACAAGCACTCCTACGCCCGGTCGCCCATCCGGACCTACGCCGGAGACGAGGAGAACCTGAGCGAGGACGGACACGCCGCACACACCCGAGGTGAGCTCAGGTTTCTCGGTTTTCTCACCCAACCTTGACACCAACTAAATGTGACCGTCATTTAAGTGAACCAAAAAAAGCCTTTCATTCCCTCAAATAGTCCTCCAACGGATGTCAATTCAACAGAAAATATTTTGCCATCAACAGGTGGATTTGTAAAAGTATTTTTTGTGGATTCTGAGATGAAAATAGCTGGATTTTTGGGAGGCTGGCATTTAGATTTAAAGACTCTTCTGGCCCTCTCTGCAGGATCGGCGTTCACAGCCTCCGACAACCTCTCCCTCAGCTCCTGGGTCACCACCACCTCGGGCTTCACCGGCTTTCAGCACCCGCAGTCCCTGTCAGCCATGGCCACCAGCCCCGCCTCCTTACCCCACCCCATCCAGGGCTCCCTGCCCCCCTACGGCCGGCTGGGCATGCCGCTGACCCCCACCGCCCTGGCCGGGAGCATGCAGGGCAGCGGGCCGTCCTTCCCCTCCTTCCACATGCCCCGCTACCACCACTACTTCCAGCAGGGGCCCTACGCGGCCATCCAGGGACTCCGCCACTCCTCCACCGTCATGACGCCCTTCGTATGACTCCCCCCCTCCCCCCCCCCGGGCGATGGTCCAGCCCCACCGTGACGCTGACCACTGACTCAGTGCAACAGGCTGTGTCTCCACTCTGACTCACCCTTCCTTTTGCTCTCTGTAAATAGTTCACCTGGAAGCGAGGGAGGTGCCACAAAGAGGATGCACCCCCCCCCCCCCCCCCC